GAAGAAGAAGAAGAAGAAGAAGAAGAAGAAGAAGAAGAAGAAGAAGAAGAAGAAGAAGAAGAAGAAGAAGAAGACGAAGACTTGATAGAAATATTACATCGCATATTTTACCGAGCCGACGCTCTTCAACCTGTGTTATAAGAATTTTTTCTTATAACAAAAAGAAAAACAAGAAAAAGAAAAACTTAAAAGCAGGGTAATTCTCGATGCTCGATACGATCGGCAATAGCAATTATTCGCGATACACTTCACAATATAGTAAAGCTTCGTTAACAACATTATCGAAGAAGCACTTTCGGTATTCCATGACTAAATTCGATCTGTTCGTGGATGGTGGACTAACTCATTCCAAACAAGTTTCTAACATCTAACCACTAACGTGTACGTAGTAATTTGTTCAATGTATTGTTACGGTCGGGTAAGTCGATTTCGAAAAGTAATAATCTTTCTATTAATTATTTTTCTTGCAATATTAAATATATAACTCGTAGTTGTTATTGTTGTTTCGATACGTCTCGTTTGATTATATTTGCATGAAATAAAAAAAGAGAATAAAATGAACCCGATCAATGATGATGATGAAGAATTATAAATGTATAAATTGGTATTAATTTGATCAATGTAAAACAAGTTACAATAATATTTTTCGATGAATACCAAAAATGGGTGGAAGAAGAAAGGAAAGTTCGAAAAGGGTATGACGTATCAAGGTTGTATATACCTATACCATCGTTGCATACTTAACACGCGTGTGTTTCCTTTGAGCACGTAGGTAATACCGCGATGTACCGTGGTACCTGTTGCGTGGGCGTAAAGTATCACTTTGTATATGGCTTTTGAGATAGGATCGAAGCGTGTTTTTCCATCGGTGCATATATAGAACCAACAGAAAGGAGAAAACGAGAGGAGCTTTTTTTTTAAAACGCGACGCACGACTTGGCCCATCAAAAGAGATCGATTAAACGGTAAAAACTTGTATCGTTCGTTACCCCGAACGAAACAATATATCGTTCCCTCGTAACAACAATATTCGCGATTCAGTTGCAACGTTGGTAACAGAGACCCCATAACTGTAGAGCCAGGACTAGCAAGTAAAGTAACGACAACAATAATAATAGTAGTAGTAGTAGTAGTAACAATAGCAACAGCTATAGCAACAGCACCACTAAAATTCGGGTTACGATCGATCGAAATACGAACGCAACGAAAAATGCAAGGTTTTCATGGGTTTCAAGGGTTTCGATAAAGAGGGAAGATCGAAAGGATATCATCGGTAGAACTAACTTTATATTTTTCTTCTTTCCTTTTCAAATTTCTTTTTGCTACGAGAATCATTTCTTGTTCTTTCTCTCTCTCTCTCTTTTTTATGATGACACTCGCGCGCATTATTCAAGCGAAGAAATTGAATCGTAAGAGGAGAATTTCTGTTCATCGAACGAAGGAAAACTGGTTTTGCTTCTCCGTTACATCGTAGTATCGCATTGTTCTATTGGAATATATGTCCCGGACGCGTACATTCCCGGATCCTCTTCTCC